TTGCAAACTTTTAACCAAAAATAATAAATAAGTGCAATAAATAAATAAATAAATACTTACATAAGTGCAGTGCAAAAAATCCCTAGGAAATTTCAATTTACTTTATCTCAATTTACTCGAACTCGCACACTCGCCTATACCCTCAATATCATTTATTGCATTAATTAAATTAAAAATTAATTGATGGCTTCAAATTCAAAATCAAATTTGTCACTGACAATCTGACTAGCTAATCAATGGTTAACTTTGACAATACGAAGTGTACTTTCTTCTTTTTAATTCATAATGTTTAAAATTAATTAGGATAATTAAAATATATAAATTTTAATTATAAAATTAAAATTATTAAATTATATTAAAATATATAAATTTTAATTATAAATAAATTAGGAATAACAAATCAATTTTCAGCAAACTTGATATTTATGTCGTTTTCGATTGGTAAATCTGGGGTAACTTTTTTAATCGACATTCACTTTTAGTGCAATTTTAATTTTTGATTGGTAAATCTAGAGCGCAATGTAAACACTTGAGATTAATTTATAATACTCTAGATATGTTGACAGAGTAGCAAGATTACCCTGTAATTAACAACTGTTTTATATGACTTGACAAATAAATTGTGATTTGATTCGATACACATATTTATAATGAGATAATTTAAATATCTACTAACACTTATAAAAATTTTGGAATACTTTAAAAATATTCGATTGGGCAGCAAAATTTGACAGATCGAGAGTAAAAAATCTGAATTTTATCCAGATTTACCAATCAAAAACGATATTAGTTATAATTCATATATTATAAAAACGCTTAAAGTTGCAAAAAAATTATCTTTAAAATCATTTACTAAGGTAATTAACTCGAGCATTAATTTATTTATTTATGTGTAATTTGTGTGTGTTTGATTTGAACTACCAAAGTTGCTCCTAGCATTCAAAAAGAAAAAGTGCTACTTATAGCACTTTAAATATTTTTTTTGGTATTATAATATAGAAAGTTTATATAAAAACTTTCTATTTAATTGCTAAATGTTGAACTCTTATTTAGTTCTAATTAATATATATTAAAAAAATTGAGTATAAAATAAAGTTCTCTACCGCAATTTTAACAAGAAGTATTTTTGAATCTAACCCACTCTCACTGCGTAGAAGTTTCAATGTTGAGTCCATTTTTTATATTGCTGGGTAAAGACTTATATAATTGAAAATAAATAAATTTAAAAACTAGCTGAGAATCCTACATACCGTAGTAGTTAGTCATACTCTTGTTATGTAGAGCGTCTCGGGCACTGCAAAATTGACGCTTTCGGACTATTCCGAAAATACATGTTATGTAGACTGTCACATCCTTATTGCCAATTTCGTATTTTTACAATGTTTTGGTGATTTTTGGTTGTGCCTAAATTTAAAAGGAAATGTAGATATGCTCACTTTCCATAATAGAGGTTGTAATAATGTTAATTTCATATTATAGTATCTTATAATATATTGTTAGCAGTACTTACAAAATTATACGACTTTCCTTAAAATCGGGAAGTGTAATAATTAGATTAGTTTTTTATAAAATAGGCTATTTTTCTCCAAAACGTATTGAAATTGGAGTAATTTCAAAAAGCGAAAATTCTAAAATTTATTACTAAACAACACTGCTTTGCCTTCGCCGGCTTTCATGCCGGTTTTTTGAACCGACGTATTGTTTTTTCTTATAATTTCCATTGAACACAGCAACAATTTTAATCATGTCGTGCCCGAAACACAAGGTGGCTCTAAGTCTTTCAATATAAGAAAAATTTATCTCCTAATCTTCAAAAAAATGTGCTAATTATTTTATTGTCAAAATTGCGGAAGAGAACTTTATTTTTTACTCAGTTCTTTACAAGTTATATTAATTAGAACTAAATAAAAGTTCAACATTTAGCAGTTAAATATAGAGTTTTTATATCCATATTATAGTACTAAAAAAAAATATAAAGTGCTATAAGTAGCACTTTTTCTTTTTGAATGCTAGAAGCAATTTTAATAGTTCAAACCAAACACACACAAATTACACATAAATAAATTCTTATCCAAACAATGAATGGGTCAATACCCTCCGTGCTTATAGTTATGATTCAATGACAGGTCAAGCTTTTATATTGCTTTACAAAAAATAGATTTAAAAATTCGCTGAGATGCTCTATAATAAAGAGAGGATACATATGTAAAACCATTTAAATTGTTGAGCTTTTATTTAGTTGTAATAAATATTTATTGATATAAATAAAATTCTGAATTGTGACTTGGTAGATTTAGGTAGTGGTTTTTTCATCTATCATATTAAAAGCCCTTAAAACTGGGACTATTGTAATGCCATAGATAACTTTCAACACACCAGCCGAGTGAAGTAGGTTCGGTTTAGGTTAGGTTATACCGGCGATCCCTAAGGAATCTACTTATGTCTATAGGCCCTTTGTATTACCGTATATAGAGGAAAATCAAGGTTTATTTCTTCATATATTCTCTAAGGCGAATTTTTTCGATTCTTTACCTGATCACAAAGATTTGTGTGGCTTAATGTTGTCAACTTGAAAAATAATATCCTTTCTTTTTTAATTAATTGAATTTCATTTTTAGACCTTAGACTCTGCGGTTTAAATTTGTTTGAGTACATGTTCAGACCTTGGTACTGAGAGTTTAAAAACTATAAACAAACATTCTGATTAAAAAAATTTTTTTCAAAAACCATTGATAATAATATTTGGTAATATTTGAAACAGCCCTCTGATAAACTAAAAATATAATCAATTAAAATAAAATATTTTGTTTTAATTCACTACTATTTACTACTTTTGTATTTGCAAATAGTTTTTCGTCATGTCTGACTTAAAAATTGCTAAATTGAAAATTGATTCAATCGTTTCGTTAGGTGATATCAGCTTTTAATAGACGATAACCTTGCAATCCCATCAAACACACAGCATCACCTTTTTGTTGTCAATTCCAATTTTCTGATAATTTTCTCATATATTAATATGAGAGACTCATTTCTCAACGGCTGTAACCATTCCATTGGCTTGATTTCATTCCATTAAAGTTATTCCAAACTTTTTCACATAGATTATGAGGTACGCGAATTTTAAGTTACTTTTTGTAACTACAAATGCCAATCCTTTAAAACTGTTTTGTGGTCGATCTGAAGTTCCTTGACGATGTCGTAACTGCTCACTTATCGGTCCTCTTAAATATTTATGCAAATCCTTTAAAACTGCTTTGTGGTCAGTTTTCAATTCCTTAATGATGTCGTAAATGCTCATTGATCGGTGTTCTTAAATATTTATGCAAATCCTTCAAAACTGTTTGTGGTCAATCAGTTCTTTAACTATCTAGTTCCTATCTATCTAGTTCGTAACTGCTCACATATGAGCCTTCTTGCATGTTTATGTAAAAGCTTTAAAAATATTTCCTTGTCAATCTTCAGCGATCAAATTAATTCCTTGAAATTAATTGCGATAGAGTATTCCTTCTATCACAGTTAAGCCAGAATTCTGCAGATTTTGTAATTTTGCAAATTGTAGGATTTTATAAAATTTCACTAATTTTGCTATATCTTTGCAATAAATTTTAGCAGAAAACTCCAATCTCAATGTTCAAAAATCGTTCTAAGATATAGTTAGATGTTGCTATATATTCTCTTCTTGTGAAGTCACAGCCTCCTTAATAATAAAAGCCATTCCAAAAATTCAAATTTAAGCCCTAGTCAATTATCATTTTTTATCAATTCATATCTCACATTGACCTCCATTTTAAAGTCATTGCTTTTTAATAATCAAATTTAAAAAGTCTTCTTTATATAAGCATTTATCATATATATATATCAATATATATCTTAACTTACAAAATGAAGAAACCTTGTATCACTTTATTTTTAAGTCCCCTATATACTTCTCAGTACGGAGTCACCATCTTAGTTTCTTACTTGCAGTCTTCAGGGACCACAAATCCTTAATTTTTCAACTTATATATACGAAATAGTCTTAAAATCAGTTAAGTTATTATAAACGAATAAGATTTGCTTTTCACTAAAATTGTTTTCGTAGATGTATATATATATATATATATTTTTTTTGTCCTACTATTTATAAACCTTTTTTTATCGCTTATCTTTTAAACCTAGCTATAAGTAAACACCAAACCTTCTTCTGTAAATAAATGTTGAATTGAAATATAAACATATACACATATATAATATTTCAATGGAATACTAATTAATTACTTAATCCCACGTATCCTGGGAGGGGGCTAGAGTGACTGAATCCAATCTCCGAAAGTAGTTAGAGGGATACATTTATACATATGTATATTTATCATAAAATCGTTATGACTATTTAATTGGATGAAATTTTTTTTTTATTATCTGAAAGTCCCCTTCGAAGTTATTGAAGCTGAATTAAAGACTATTTATTCCATGAAGATGGCAAATAATTAGTTAGTGTGTTTGACTATTCGTTGAATACAAAACAATTCATGAATTATGCGCCTTAGTAATTTAAATAATCTTATCTGTTATGTCAGCTTTAAGTCGAACTATTTGCAAAGATACTTTTAAGAAATAATCTTTATTGCAAATCACACTCAAAATGCTATATATAGTATGTTAACACTATATATGTATATATGAGAGTCTACTAATAAATTCTTATCTGAAGAGAACTAATTAATTGTTAAATTTCATGTCATCATTACCGTATGTTGAAAACTGTGCCATGGGAATAAGTCCTGTCTTCTGTTTGTATATAATCAGCAGTACATACATATATCATATATATATATATAAACAAAAAGAGTAAATTTTTTTTGAGAATATCAATAAAGTTTTTGATTACTATTTCTGTCTTTATTAAAAGTTTTTATTTAATAGTTTTGTTGCTCGGAATTTGTTAGCACCTATCTGCTGTTGACTTGAACGTCTCTGGTTTGACTAATATAATTCTGTTTAAAAACGTGTTTATTACTTTTTACACGGCCAAGTACAATTTTTTATTTGCTTATATTCCCGCCACTTTCGGAGTTGATAAGCGCAAGACACTTTATCGTTACTCCCTGATAAAATGGTTTATTGCACGATATGGGTCAGACTGTAGGCAGAAAGCTTGTGTTCAACGAAATCAATTTTAGCATTAGATAAGATTATCAGTCAATATGACAATATAATTTGGGTATGAACCCTATTAACTTCGCCACTCGCCTGCCTGCCTGTGAGTGAGTATTTATTATTTATAAATTCAGTCTTGTCCGAAACACATTGGAAACAATTACTCTAATATTTACACATTTCGTATTTCGTATTTTGTATTTTGTATTTCGTAAAATGAGCCACTCAGAGAATATATTAGATCAGCTGAAGAGTTCAGTGCAGGCAATAATAGACAAAACCGGTGCTGGAAGTAAATACACACAAAGCTTAGTAAGCCGCATACAGGCGTTACAACAGAAACTGGAATCTCTTTCCAATATTGAAAGAAGTCAGTTCTTGACAGAAATGCAGGGTTCCTTCCAAAATACAATCAATAAAATCGAACAGAAGCTAACACAACATGCAAATTTTGAAAAAGTCTATAATTATTCCATAATCTCAGCTGTGGTTCTCACACTTGTGGTTACTGTTGGTTAGTGATTATTAATTCTATTTTCATCTTTATTTTTGATTTATTACAAAAATGTGTTTATTTCAAAATTAATTAATCAAATTTTTGTTTTTTCAGCACTTTTCGGCTATAAACTTTACAAATCTCTGATGGAAAAAGAACTGAAGAAGCAGGAAAAAGTTAAAAATAAGCACACCAAAAAATCGAAAAAGAATAACTAAAGACACAAACTTATAAAGCCGAAATGATGCACACATCTACTTAAAAATCCGTTTTTAATACTATATATGTTTAAATATACAGTTTTATATTACTATACCAAATATGATGAATTATCAGTAAATTACTTACAACCTAACTTATAACTTAATAGTAGTACAGATAAATGTTCTCGTGAATCTTGTGTATGTGTATATGTTAAATGTTCAGTAATTAAATTAACTTTATGATCCAAAATAAAATCAGTAAATAATTAATATTATATTAAATATATTAAAAACAATATATACTCATAATCCAGTCTTGACATTATATTTGGTGTTAGTAGTTGCATTATAAATGCATTTTACGTAAAATAAATTTTTATAAAAATAATTGCCAATTTTTTAATTATTGTTAATTATAATAATCATAATAAAATGATTCTGAGCCTTAAATTTGATAGGATATAAGTTGAACCATTGGTACTTGCTGTCTACAAATCTCTCTTTCTCACTCTTATCCTCAGATCCCAGTAGAGCATGGGGCCTCGCTATCTACAAATACTTATAATTAAATACAAGAAATGTTTCCAGAAAAGACTACTGGTGATGGATATTTGGTTATACTCGAAATAGCTGTATGATCAGCAAAAAAATTAGTTAATTTATAATAAAATCATATTGTTTCGCTACTATTCAAGAACCTTCACATAAAGTAAATATTTTCTGTATTCATAATTGATTTTACAACAATAGCATATGTTCATATATGTTACAGATTATTTTAATATTAAGATAGTTTTCTGTGCTATAAACTATAACTATACTATACTTGCGCAATTATTTATTTTTTTTTCGAGAACTGAATATATTCGGGGAAGACAATCATCATAAATATCGATAGTTACAACAGCTCGAGTTATAACAACAACTACTTCCAGGATTTTCATCAGAATACTCTATCATCTAGGATCAATACTCTATCATCATTCGCTGGTGCTCACTAGTCGTTGCTAACTTTGTGGTCTGCAGCTTTTTATCCGAATTGAATATTGTGTAAAGTGTATTACTCTCGTTGGTTCCGTTTATTTTGTTCCAGAGATTTTAATGTTTGTTACGATATCTATTTAGATTATTCATTGTTTTTGCATTTGGACAAAATAGTAATAATAATAATTCGATTATGAACAGTATAATAATTGTAGAAATATTTAGAAGGAATAATACTAATAAAAAACACAACCAGTATAAATTCAATATTTACAATAGTTTTGACTAAAATTATTATTACAAATCGTCATTATTATTTTATAGTTAATTTTTAAATTTTTTTTTAACATATGTTTACAGAATTACATATAGTTATAGTCATAATTAAATTTTTAATATTACATATAGATTTCTTTTTTTTTTTTTGCGGCAAGGAGGAGTGGAATGCCTACGCACTGACCACAATCCGGCGCCCCGGAAGGTGAGTGCCCTTCTCGCACGGGCTAAACCACTCCCCCTCATTCCTAGAGACCTTGTTCTACCCCGGAACTACGTTAGTATTACTTCGAGGTAGGGTCCCTATTAGTCACTTAAGACTACCATCGGTTTGCCCTGCGTCTAGGCTCCGCTACTGTTGCAGATAATTAATCTTGCCCTATGTTACAGTCTACTTTTTTCAATCTCAGAGTATGTGTTCCGGCTCTCACTCGTGCTCTTCGTTTATATTAGATTGCGTCCAGATCTTTCTTCTTTTTCCTTAAAACATTCCCGATGAATTGCGTGATTTTGTTCCAATTTTCTGTTCGTTCTATCATTTTTTCTACAATATTATCGACTGTAAAGTGACCTATATATTCTGCAAGTAGTATTCTTTCTCCACGCCATCTTTCGCAGTTGAAGAAAGTATGCTCAGCATTGTCCTTGACTGATCCCCAGTATATACAGTTGGGCTGCTCTGCTTTTTGCATTCTGTATAGATATTTTCGAAAATATCCATGACCAGATAGGAACTGTGTGACATAATAGTCAATCTCGCCGAAATTTCTTTCCGCCCACGACTTTACGTTCGGAATCAGCTTTGCCGTCCATCTTCCTCTTAAATCGGAGTTCCACCGTTGTTGCCAGATCTGAAAAGTTTGTTCCCTTATATCTTGAAGGTCTGTTGAGTTGTTTGTCGATCTCTGTTTTCAGCGTTTTTTCCGTTCATGTGTCTGGAGGTCGATAGGGATGATTCCACTTATCACTAGAACAGCAGGCTCGGATACGGTTCGGTATGCAGAAGCTACCCGAAGTGCAGCAGTCCGCTGTACAGCTGCGTAAACTTTACATATAAGATAATAAATATATACATAATAATTAGGTATATGTATACACGTTTTTATAATTATTAATTATATATTAATAAGGTAAGCTTGGAGTGCCGACTTTATACACCAAAGTTCACAAATATTGGTCCGCTATAATACAATGGATTAACGTTGCTCATACGCAGAACAGAAGAACCCCTAGAAGTGAAAGTGAACTAACGTGATAAGTTTATAAATTTAATTGCGTCCTTAATTTTGCAGGATATTGGCTCCATCGGATAGGTAAGAATAAGAGTTGACACAAGAATTTTTAATATTCTATTGGCCAAAGATGGAAATGAGCTAAGAAGGTGAACTCCTTTTCAGAGCCACAATTACGACAAATGTCATTATAGAATAGACTTTATAATACAAGGAATGTAAGCTATCGTACGTTTCTTATCCAGTTTTCTTCAATTGCCGAATAATAATATATAACTTATTTAAAGCAAGTACATACATAATATAAATATTATTCATAAAAGACTCTAATATATACAATAAAAATATATATATTGTGTATATAAAATAATTAATTGTTAAGTATATGGTTATAAATATAAAAATATAATAAAGATAATTAATTAATTAATTACCTATTAATTAATACATAATATAATAATTATTTATATAAAAGTCATATATGAATATACAACAAAAATATATACTTATATTGTATGTATAAAATAAATAATTGTAATTGATATATGATTATAAGTATAAAACTAAATTAAAGATATGTGTAACATTGAATCAAATATTGAAAACGTGTTGTCTTAAGTACTGTTATTATTTCTTAGTGGAAGTTCCTACCTTACGAACTGTTGAAAGAAAGGTTATAGTGCTCCAGATTTAATTTTGAAAATTTTGAATAGATGCTAATACGTTTAAGCAACAAAATAAATTTGTTAGTACTGTGAGGAGCACCAAGATATATTTGAGAAAAGGGTAATGCTTATGATTGGGTTGGAGACCAAATTTCATATCTTTAATTTAAAATGGTCAGCACTTAAACATATTTTTCCACATAGTTTGTTCCATGATATTAGTGTTGGAATCGCAAATAAATCTGACCCGAATCAATCACATTTGAAATATTTTAATATGGTTTATTGAAATCTTAGCTGCCAAATGTGACATCAAAAAGAAATAATAATTATAGGCAGTAGATATACATTCGCTAGGTTTTATTTGAAATGGCATAAGTGCATAACTTGAATGACCAGATATAGTAATATATAATATAGTTGTTTTGCTAGAATAGTAAAAATATCGATATCAAATAAATTTAGCAATAAAAATTAATAGCATATATTAACTATAGCATTTCAAAGAGAACTTGCAGTTATTATATGTGTATGTATGAAAATAGCGATTATGATACTATAAAAACTATTTGTCAATTTATTTAATCATCGATGATATTAAAACTCTGAAAAATGCTTTTAGTCAAAGTATACATTTATTTTCTTTTACAAATTTTTCTGAAGAATTTCAATCAGTTAAAAAAAAATTATTAAAACTAAATTAATTCTAAACAAATCTGATTCCAAATATACTAGTTAATTGGATTTCCAATAACGATAGTAAAACTTTTAATAGAATTCGAATAGCATTACACAAAATATCAACCTGCCTATGCTCTCCGTACTTTTTTGTGAAGTTACTAGACATAATATTATATACCACATAAAAGCTGAAAGTAATACGAATATTTTAAGGTACATATCGCCAAGGTTACTTAATTAGCTTAGCGGTTATAGTCTAAAATGTGTAGCTGATATCCCAATTCTCTTGGTATCTTTTATCCATTGCAGAGGTATCATAGCGAAACCTTTTGCTTTGCGCGTCACTTTCTTCACTATGATTTAAAGAGAACATTTTCAAATAAAACACATTATGACAGGCTGAGTTGCTTCAAACCAAAGGACCTTTTGAGGCGTTTCAATCAGCAAGGATATGACTAACTCAGATCTATATACTCAGTTTAGATAAGTAATATTACTTGTAATAAATTAAATTAAAAAACCTCTTGTTAGTCAATATGACTAGTTATTGTTAATTTGAACTTTGCATTTTGTTGAAAATTGTTTTTTTAGAATGTGATATATCTTATGGATTAATTTTAATAATATTTTGCGTATACAGTGACTCCATCGCATAATCGGACAAGCATTTGTTCGATATAAATGTGATCCAAACTTTAAAAAAAATGCTAAAAATATGATTTGTTTTACTTTAATTAATACTTAACATACTTAACTATCTAAATTACAAAAAAAATTAAGACATTTCTCATAATAACTATTAATTTAAAGTAAAAAACATAACCAATACAATTTTTTGGGCTCAACGCATAATCGGACAAACTGAAGCAGCAATGCTAAAAGTACTGTTATTTTACAAATATGCACTTCAAAACTGTAGTAATAATTCTCACAACAATGTTTATTATATTAAGATAAATATAAATTATAAATTATAAAATTGTAACATAAATTAGTATTGAAATGGCACCAAACGGAAAGCAATCTACTATCGAAATAAGGCAATTAATAATTAAATTGAATTTCGAAGGTAAAACCGTTAGAGAAATTGCCAATTTAGTTGGAATAAGTAAATCTACTGTCCAAGACATCAGCAAGAGGTTCCGTGATGAGTTTAGGTTGGCCAATAAGAGCAGAGCAGGTCAAGACAAAATATTAAGTGATAGAGAAGAGCGTTCGATATTGAAAGAAATTAAGAAAGATCCTTTCAAAAGCGCTAAAGATCTTAAATTTTCATTAAAATCCTGCTCTGGAAAAGATGTATGCTTGAATACTATTCGCAATACATTACATATATTCGATTACCACGGAAGAATTGCCAGAAAGAATCCGTTTATAAGTACCAAAAATAAAAACAAAAGAATAAAATATGCTAAGGAATATTTGCTAAAAACAGAAAGCTTTTGGAATCCGGCAAATTGATGGTAAATCATCTTAAATACTTTTTCATTTTTTTAAGGTTTTGTTCACTGATGAAAGTAAATTTAATCTACATGGATCTGATGGTAAGATGTTTGTATGGCGTAAACCAAATGGAGAATTCAAACATCATAATACAAAAACCACTATAAAACATGGAGGAGGATCTGTTATGATTTGGGGTTGTATGTCGAGTGCGGGAGTAGGTAATTTGCATTTTATAGATAGTAAAATGGACAAATTTGGATACCTCGACATTCTGAAACAGAATGTAAAGCAAAGTGCAGAGAAATTGAGTATCGCAGAAAATTTTGCTTTTTATTAGGACAACGATCCCAAGCATACGGCAGGCGTAGCAAAGCTTTGGTTGATAAATAACTGGCCTAAACTCATAGACACACCTGCACAGAGCCCAGACCTTAATGAAATTGAGCATCTTTGGGAGGAATTAGCTAGTAGAGTGTACCAAAAAAAATTTAACACAATAGTACAGCTAAAGGAGGCTTTACTGGAAGCATGGTACTCAATTGAGCCAGAAGTGTGCCAAAAATTGGTAAAATCACTTCCAAATCGTCTTCAGGCCGTTCTGGATAACAAAGGATATGCAACAAAATATTAAATGCTATATTCCTGCATTTTTAACATGGATGCTTAATTTTGTCCGATTATGCGTTGAGCCCAAAAAATTGTATTGGTTATGTTTTTTACTTTAAATTAATAATTATTATGAGAAATGTCTTAATTTTTTTTTATAAGTTAGATAGATAAGTATGTTAAGTATTAATTAAAGCAAAAAAAATCATATTTTTAGCATTATTTTTAAAGTTTAGAGCACATTTATATCGAACAAATGCTTGTCCGATTATGCGATGGAGTCACTGTATATCACTTATATTAATAGCAAAACAAAAAATTAATGAGTCAAAAAAATATAACAATTTAATAATAATTAATGTAATTTTTATATTAATTTTTTTTTGATTTTGCCATGTTCTAGAATAAATTTTTTTATTCAAATTATCTTAAGAGTAAAATCAGAAACGTTTTCCTCAAATAAATTAAAAATCTTAAACGTTCACAGCAACTTTTGCTGATGATACTGCAGTCCTTGCAGTTGGAGAAAGCGCAGTAATAGCAGCTAATAATTTGCAAAATAGTATGGACAGTATAATTGCTTGGACAAAAAAATGGAAAATTAATCTGAATAAAGAAAAATCAGTGCATGTAAATTTCACAAATCGAAACATCAGTCATATACCTGTCTACATCGATGAAGCACAAATCCCTTACGCGAATACTGCGAAATACTTGGGTATGACTTTGGACGCTAAACTAAGATGGAGCGAGCACATAAAAAAGAAAAGAAGTGAATTAGATCTTAAATTCAAATCGTTGAAATGGTTAATCGGCAAAAAATCAAAACTATCGCTTTTCAATAAACTTGTATTATACAAACAAATGCTCCAGCCAATCTGGACATATGGAATACAGCTATGGGGTTGCGCAAGCAGAACACAAATTTCCATCATCCAAAGATTCCAAAATTTCATGCTACGGAGTGTAACAAACGCGCCATGGTACGTGAGAAATTCTGACTTACATCGTGACCTTGGAGTGACAACAGTACAGGAAGAAATTCATACCAAAGCCAAATCACACCAAGATAGACTTAGTTGTCACATAAATGCTGAGGCGCATTTACTAGCGACAACTGAGCCAATACGCCGTCTAAAGCGCCGAAAGCCGTGCGATCTTTGGGCTTAAATCATTGAAATATAGTACAATTAATTTATTATTGCGTGGAATCGCCTAATTTATTTAAATTTAAATTGCTTGTTAGTTATCTAATAACTAGTTGCTTTATGTCTTGTTTTGTTTTATTTATTGTTCTTTAAAATCATATATAATAATAACACAATTTATAATAAAAAAAAAAAAAAAAAAAAAAAAATTTGAAATTGAATTTTACTTTTCAATTTCAGTAAGCCCATAGCCTACTGGCGTCGCCACAGCTTTATATTTATTTTTTGAAGGTAGATCAATCCCAACTTTGTTAATTTTAGGAAGGATATCAACCTGAACGTTTACAATTTGGGATTTATTTATTACAGTCAACGAAAACAAACACTAAAGTACCAAACATAGTGCAATGTTTTGTATTTTTGTTAAAAAAACTCTAAACGAATAGTACACTAAAAATAGTCCAAAATAAATTACAAAATTTTCGCGAGCACAAACTCTAAAATTTAAGTATACTGTTTCCGACATCTTCTGTAAAATTTTAAATGTTCTATGTTTCCATGAAATACAGGACAGGTTAAAAAAAAGGAAAACTTGATTTTTCCTGAGTCAATTCAATCATTTCGAAAGATATGGTGCTAGCTATTTTGGCAACATCAGCAAGATGAACAGGAATCTGATAGACTTTACGAAGATCAATAGTTGAGAAAACATTACAATCTTCTAGCCAGTGTGTCAAGGTGTGAATATGCGGAATAGGATAACAATTGGACCCGGTTATAGAATTAGGTCTCCTGTAACAATCGCAACACCGCCATTCCAAGTTTTTCTTTTTTACTACATGCAAAGGACTTGCCCAAGTACTGTTAGATAGTCTACAAATTCTAGCGTACAGGAGAGATTGAATTTCTACTTTAGCAGCTTTCATCACCTCAGGCGAAAGGCGAAAGAACTTTGAGAAAACTGGTCATCCATTGGTGACAATGTGGTGAAATATATATCACGAGTTGAACCTGAAGAAAATGGTAGAACGCTAGTAATTACTGAGAATTCCTTTAATATAGCATGGAATTCATTGTTACTATTGATTGCTGAGAGCCCAGATGTTGGATGATTGACTGTAGTAAGGGCACAGCTGATGGAAAAGTTGGTAACGCCGTCAAGCTATTTAAGATGTCGCAAGTCGGCGACAAGCTTATAATCATTAAGAGAGCCAGTCCCCAAGATAGATTGCGAAACTTCAACGATGGTAATGTTCCATAAGGAAGAACGGCGTAAGCCCAAATTCAATGTTAGCCTTTTTTTAGCAAACGTTTTGATTAGGAATTTGTTAGCTGCGAATAGGTACAAATGCTGGTCTGGCGTTCCTATGAGCATTGGGTGAATTGACACTAACTTTAGCTGTAGTGTCAACCAAGAACTTCAACTCTACGTTTATGTCGTAGAAAGTAAGTCGGCAATATGATTGAGGTTGTCTGTCTGGTATCCTCGTTAGAGACGGACGATCTAATTTATCTTTTTGCTACACAGTTCTTTGCATTTCTTGGGGTTACGACCAAACTAGCGATGATACTAACAGAGACCCACGTCATCACGGTCGCCACTGTCTCCTTTGCTACGGTCTGAGTTCGGCTACGTCTATTTGATGGTGAAGTGAAACATCGGTAGCTGTGTTAATTTTGCCAAACGGACTTTCTGAACTGAGGAACAGTCGTACGCTTCGCGATTTTATCAGCCATAATAGTAATTTTGTACAGAGATTCGCTTCTGATTGAAATGATAGCACGCATGTTGGCTGGCAAATACGTAAACCACATGGACCCTAATAACGCGTCATCCATTTGTATCTCGGTCAAGTTTTTCATTTTATGCAGGAACTCAGAATGCCGCAAATCTCCTAGATACATCTATTGCAGAAGTTTCTTCAACCTTTTTTGCTCCAAAATTGAAAATTCCTTAAGTAGAGTAGAGTGGAGTAGAGATTTTCAGCAGGCATGTTACGCACCATATCACTAACTTGAGCGAGGATAACTTCATCAATTGACGCAACCACTGTATGGAATTTAGTCTGTTTCGTAGTAACACTTGATGTGTCGAACTGCCTTAATATATTCGTACCTTAATATATTCGTATTAGTTTCACATTTTATCGGATATTTATTATATCTAGTAACACTCATTCGCAAATAACAGGTCATTGGTACACAGATTATGATTTTAGAATTCTATGAAAAATTATACTATAGAAAATATATGTCTCGTCTTTGGGAAAAATTATAAATTATAAAAAATGTTGTTTGTAAACTAGTGTTATTTGACTAATTCAATATCACAAGGTTACTAAGTAAATAAATAGTTTTCACAATATTTTAATGTTACTGCAATACAACTAATACAGTACTATAAAAACGCAAAAATAATTATTAACAAAATTTTTGTAGAAAACGTCTATACAATGTCAATTTTCAATGTTAATTTAAATATAATTCTGTTTTTTAAAATCTAATGTAACAATTATTGTAAAATAAAATAATTAATTATTGACTATTCTGAAGACCTTAGTGTATAAATTGAAATAATACAGAGAACTAAAAAAATTAGCTTTTTTCCTGTATTAGTCAGTTATTTCCTCAATTATATCTATATCTATTTCCCTCGTATCCTCTTCTACAATATTAATTAAACTAATGTCAGTTCTATTATTTTCTGCAAAAACCTCTTCTATTGGATTTTCTTGTATATTTTCATCTAGTATCATGTACGAAATATAGGTATTACTTTCCCCAATATCGTTAGCTTCATCGTAGTCCACAACCATGATTGGTATATTGTCAGTGCAGTTTGGTGCATCGTCAACATTTTTCAATAAGTCGTCAAAATCATGTGGTGGATTATCAACATCAGCAGCATAGTTAAGTGATTCGTTAACAACGTTTAATGGATCATCAGCATCATCAATACTATTTTGTAATTCGAGTTCTGAAATGCTTTGGTTATTTTGGAGTTTTGGTAACTGTAGTAACTCATAGTTAGAATGTCTACTCTTAATGTGCTTTCGTAATAAGTAATTTGAAATAAATGATGCATCACAGCCATCCTTGATACGTTGTGAGCAGATAAATCTAAAAATAGAAGTAAATGTATTGAATAATACTCGTATATAAATTATTACTTCGACATACTCTTTATGATCCGAATGACGCTTTATATGTAAATTTAAGGCATATTTTCGTCCAAACATTCTATTGCATATGGGACATTTATGTTGTAATTGTTCTCTATGCATAGCCATGTGTATATCAAAGGAGTTTTTATAATTTGTAGTAAATAAACATTCATTGCATTCGTAGAGGAAAGGCTTATGGATCTGTTAAATATAAAACTTTATAGTAAAGTATAAACAATGAGATTGAGAATTTTACATACAAATGTGTTGTGTTGTTTCAATTCACTTTTATAGTAGAAACCTTTGTCACATGATTTGCAGAAATAACGTTTAATGGACTCGTGAACAATTTTTTTATGCTTCTCCAAATTTCTTCCATTTTTGAATATTTTATGGCATTCATTACACCGCATTTCTTGGTGGCAAGAGTCCATATGCTTTTCGAGGAGTGCCTTATTTTTAATTATACTTTTACAAATTGAACATTTCAAATTTTCTATTAAAAGAGAAAAATATTTAACATTTATAAAAACATAAAATATATAAAATATACATAAAATATAAACATAAAATATATTGTTAATAATTAAATTCTTTACAAGTTATCTGATTTAAAGACACCGATACGTCGGTATATATCTCGGTATGTAGTAAAGACGCATAATTAGTAAACTAGTATTTTAGTTTTTATCACACATATAACTTGTATAATTATAAAGGAAATAATAATACATATTTGGACTATAAACTGTAATTACTAAACTAATATAATAAAATAAGTTGTCCTAAATATAATAAGTAAATTCTAAACGTAAACTGAAAGAAAAATTTTTAAAAAAATATAAGGTTTAACTTAGAGCGGTAACACTGTAGAAACTTGCTGTTCTTTCGACCTGAATTCTCCTAACATCTATAAAATAAATTAACACATTGAAATTGTTGTTGTAAACTGTACAGGTTGTCCTGAAAAGCAAGCATATATAAGTATATTATCAAATTGGAACAAGATGGGGAATGTGAAGGAATGAAGGCCCAGAATTTTACGTGGATATCTGCCGTGAAAGCTTAACACAACTGTGTTCTTCACACACGCCCCATTGGAACTCCGAAGAATTAAGACGGTACCAGTTGAAATTATGTATTTGGGCATAACTGCCCCCTTGGTGAAAAGCTATTCCTATCTAATACCTCTGCTGACCCGGTTGTCAAATGCAACTCCACATTGAATGATTATAAATGAAAACATTATAAACGCGTTTATTTGGGTTTTAATCACAACCACCACGACACTCTTTTTAAGGAGCCAACGCCAATGGTCAGGATAGCTGAAACTGCGGGACAGTGTAAAGGAAGGTAAGCTATCCGAAACGGACAGTTAAAAAGAAACCTCATTCCTAAATAGAGCGAAGCTATAAATCAATACAGCTCAAATTTGTTAAAATGAAAACAGATAAACCAATTATGAAGAACGTAGCTGCAGTTGGGACATCTGTTAGTAACAGATGTTATAACCAGTAACCATCTTTAATACCAGAAAATTTCAGAAGGAAGCATGTCGTAAACCTTGTTCTAATACAACCGTGGCCTTAAAGAAGATGCGGCCTTAGTATCAAAGGCGGAAAGCCTTTCTCCATATTTTACCTCATTGATATTATTTATGAGCTATAACGTTTCTATTCATTGTCATTTTTAAGGTAACCAGCATACAGAAAAAAATCTAATTAATATGATTTTTTTTTCCAAAATTCGTCTATCAATTTGTATGATATTTACACTATTTAATTTAATTTTAATTGATATATATATACATATAAAAGTTCTTACTTTAGTAGCTCCCATATAAAACGTTACTTACAATTCGATTAACATCTTTATTAATATCGAATATGTTATGAGCTATCCATTTGCAATTTCTTTTAAAGTTGGTACATCGTATACACTCCAAAAGATTCGTCAGGATTTATTTCAATAAAGATTCTCACTTTAGAAATTGACGTCTATTCGAAAAAGATTTTGTAACTTATAAAGTAATGAAGAGCTTTATGTATGCCGAGGAACTTGTAAACTATCCAACTGAATTCTCAATTTTGTTAGATATTTCTGGGGTTCTATTGCACACATTCTTATTTAAAGTTGGAACGCGAATTATTCTTTTGACACTTAAATTTTCAAGTTTTATAAAACAACAATATAATTTAAGGTATCGGTTGAGTTAAAGTAAAGATAAACGATCTTAGCAATACACTCAAGGTATAGCCAATAAATATTTATATATATTATAAACTAACTTACTATTATTATGACTTCTTGCAACGTGTACGGCTAAAGACATTTTAGTTGGACAAACTTTTTTACAAAATTGACACGTAAAAGCCCGTGTATTACTACATGTTTCCATGTGCTCTGCTAGTTGTTCAGTGTTCTTAAATGTTTCTTTGCATGTGACGCATGTCTCTTCTAAATGGCAATGAGTTTTATGACTATGATACCCACTCCACTGTACATATGTTTCTCCACATCCCTTGTGTAAGGAACCACAATTATTACAAAATTTTATAATATAATCAGTTAGTACTTACCTTAACAGCGCACATAAAGACTCTACTCAGAGCTAATTTCCATTGATCAACTGAATGATATTTTTCATGAGTGCGTAAGCTTTTATAACACGTAAAGTTTTCTTCACACGTTAAACAATGGTAAAGATTGTCGTCATGTATGCGAGTTGCACGATGCGTCTGCAAATGGTAAGCGCTCTTAAAATTCGATGAACAGAACTCACAGGTATATGCATATGTGATTATTTCCTCTTCGAGCGTCGGTTTATTACATGTTAAGTGATTCTAAATAATCAATATGTAAATATTATAAAGATAATTATGTTATTTCATTTCAATTACATTTAAGTTGGCTTCGTCCCTCGTGATTAAACCGCATGTTGTACAGATAAAACTTTGTACCTGCGATTCAATTAGTTCATGGTTTTTTATATGATTTTTATATGAACGGCAAATAGAATTTGGAAATTGTTTGTTGCAATATGTGCAGGAGACTGGATTTCCCGCAAGGTGAGAAATTTTCTATAGATTGAATTTACTTTTTGAATGTTTTTAATTACATTAAAAATGCTTTTAAATTTACCATATGCGTTGCAAGTATAGATTTATTGGCATATTTCTTTGGACAGAAATCGCAATAATATTTTAAGTTAGATTTTTGAGTGTTACAATGTGCTTCAAACCGCTCCTTGTCCTTAAATATGCGATCGCAACTGTAAAAGAATAATTATTAAGAAAATTCTGACTTGTATAAATTTTATATTTACCAAGTGCAAGTCAATTGATCCGATTGTTCATGAAAATATTGTACATGTTCAAATAATTCATTATCGTCTGCTATGTTCAAACCACAAATTAAGCAGCATTTGGGCCTATGCTTTATCAAATGAAACTGCAAATGAAATTTATACCTGCAATTAGAAAAGTTAGAAGTTTTCCTCTAAATTCTGAATAATAATATATTGGATGAGAGTATACCGTT